CAAAAGCATCAAATCTCAATGGAAATCTCCAACTGTTTAATAGAAATATCCATCCAAAAGCCTGTAAGATAAGCAAATCCCAGCAAACTCAAAAGGGAAAAAGAAAACTATAACAATAAAAAATATCCCACTACAACTACCCCTCCCAAAAAAAAAAGACATTATTCTGGGGGCCTTTATAAATCTGTGCAGGAAAAAAAGTGACATTATTCTAGGGGCGTTTATAAATCAAAGGTCAACATTAAACTTGGCATTCTTCCGTTTTCAAGCACCGTTTTCGCACCTCCTCATCCAAGTCGCCCACTCGTCTTGATGCAGTGCCACCGGATGTTCAAAAGTCTCCCACATCGGCCGCAGCCGCGGCGCGAAGTGGAGCTTCGGACAGGGCTCGTGGCCGCCTCACCGAGTCGTGAGGGGCATGTGCCATCTACTCATCTCAGGATGCCTCATCTCAGCTCGTGATCAGGGAATTTATGAAAATCCTGTGACCTGGGTTTCACTATCAGCACTCAGGAGCCTTAATGGCAGGATGCACCACAATGGAGTAGAGTACCCCTGAGCAATTGAATTGTCGACTTGAGACAAGGGTCTTTAGATTTCAGCAAGCAAACCACACGGGTCGACGAACACATCCAACCCTGTCATTTTGTGCCCCACAGCTGTAACACGGGATCTCCCGCCAGCTTAGGCTACCTTAGGTTTCTGATAGATTGAGGGATCTTTGAAGTTCTGATGGTATTCATGATGAGAAACTCAAAGTATTGAAACAACATAATCAACGACTTGGGCATACCTGGGCTTACCTTTTACCCCGGTCTCACCAAGACCAGTGAAGGATGTCTTTAAAGGACCTGCTTGAAAAAGGTACCGCCTGAGACCCGAGACCAATCGCAAACGTTTGCGGGAATGTGATCCACCGGATCAATGCGAATCCCCAAACCCGAAGAATTCGAAGCACACCATGTCCCCCTGGGATCTGGGATCATGAAATGAAATTTGACTAGTGATTGGTATGTATAGCACATCCCATCGCATACTGGTGACCGCAGCAAGGGTTTTTTTCGTATTGACAGCGCCTCCTGCGGCACAGGGTGGTGATTACCTTCTGAGAAGTCGCTGTCTCTGAAAAAGAAGAACGTAGGGCCGTAGGGTGAGAACGAAGGACAAACTGAGGAGGTGAGGGGGGCATGAGAACGCTGGGATCGAGCTACCAGTACAAATTGCTACAGATTGCTGGATCAGCCCCCAAATCCAGCAGTTTAGGAGTTTGAGGTAGACCTTTTCAACCAGTCAGGAGTCTCCCCAAAGGCCCCTATATAATCCACCCACCCTTCCACAGCCTCGTGCGGGAACTAGCTCAGAAGACCTTCCTGATTCGTGGGATCAGAGGGGGAATGAGGAGTCTTCGTCAGGTCAATCATGTGCACATCTGTTGGTCGACAGCATCCCTCCTCTGTCGTGTGCCGACGTGCCGATGTGGTGTGCAGAAACACTGACGGATCCATCTGCTGAAGGCCCCCCCTTCGGAATCACAAGGATGGCACCAAATCCTACAAAATTCTGACACACTTGGGGAATCCATAGTGATCCCCTCAATTCCCCTCATGTTTTTTTACGAAAAGTGTTCAATGTAATGTGTTGATTTGTCTCCTAGAACTGTACGATCTAGTGCTCAACCTCGGGCTACCTCGCGGGCTACCTCGCGGGCTACCTCGCTTAGCAAAAAAACTCGTTGTGAGTTCGTTCGGCGTCAGCTCTGGGGACGGGGCAAGAAGCGGGAATACAGTATATACTAGTATACTAACCACTTTATTGGTATATCCTCCTTGATATTAGCACAGAGGGGTCGTTCAACTCATGTACTAGAAAATCATCACCTCTGCAGGACTTTTGATCATGACTTATTGTGGGACAAACGGGTTCATTTGATTTTGTTACAACTACGCAGCAGGATGATAATCCAATCATCCAACTAAGCAGTGTAGGATTCTCGTACCTCCTTGGCTGTTCTAGTGGAGTTCGAGGGCTCGATTCCTATACGGAATATATGAGCATGTTTTGCTCCAAAACACCAGTGCCTTCAACCCTCCACAATTTTACAGTGCCCCTTTAGATCTACATTCAATGTAATATATGTATAATATATATATATGTATGAAATATACTGCAATCTAAAACAGTTGCGTGTCAGTGGCATCAACAAAAGCAATTATGCAAAGAAAGGAACCTCAAACAGTGCCACCAAAAAAGGCAGCGGGTCGCCATCCAGTGGAGCATTCATGCCCCCCAATGGCATCAAACCTCGATTTTCAGCACTAAGACAACTTCATGTGTTTTGACCTGGCCCCAAATGGATTGCAAAAGCTTTTGTGAGACCGAATTCACTAATCTTCAGAACAATTCGCCCTGTTGTTGGCAAAACTTGGTTCGAGAACAAACCTTTTGGGGAAAAAGAGTCTCATTACATCCCATTACACGCACTAAGACAATCTGACGTGGATGGCATGGCCCCTGGAAAAGATATACAGTAATTCTCTACAAACGGGTTGTCCACTTCCATGTTTTTCATTGGAGGGAAGGTATGTGTCACCATCCAACGGGGACATGTCACACCCGCGATTGGAGCGTCCTATCCTTCCCACGGATCGACCATGACCAAGCCACTGAAAGGTTGCAAGGACCACGAGAAGGACACCAACCTTCTCGTGGATTGATCACACGAACAAACCATCACAAACCGCGTTCTGAGCGATAATTAGAAGGGTATCGTGCAACACACCAAAGAACAATCAACTTGAGCTGGAGGTTAAAAGGTCTCTGCTTGGCCAACTGCCAAACTTGACCTGCCGAGTTTTCAGTGTTTTGGATGCTTGTCTCGCACTATTCGATGCATCAGTCGGTGCCTATCGATTATTCAGAAATCTGGATGATACCGGCAACAGCGCTTCTTCCTTCTGTCTGAAATGCCCACAAGATTCAGTCGGTCACTCAGTTGTTCCTCTTGGTCAATACTTCGGGATCCTCAGAGGATCCCCGCAAACATGTGGAGACCTCCCCAGCAATTGGTCTATTTTCCGAACCTTCCAGGGGATCTTTGGGAGGTCTCCCTAGATGAAATAAATAATATATATATATATATATTCTATTATATTTAAAAGACTATATTAATACATTCATATTAAACCTATTTAATACTACTAGGGTAGAGGCAATCATTTTTATATACGACTATATTCATCAATGAATGATCCTCTGCCAAACCACCCGAATCGATCGACCAAACACCGAACCCTGCAGTGTTCGGCGCTGTGCACCGAAAACGGGGCGTGTCCCTGGGTGGACCTGACCAAATGTCGCGACCAAATGAACCTGACTTGGGGTGTTGGCGGTCCTAGAGATCTCCACCACTATCTCCAGCCTCTTCAACTGAGTCATTGGATGCTTAAATGTGCTTCATCCATCTTCATCCAGTGATTCTCCGATAAATGATCACTGAATACAGACACTTTGTATTCTGCACCCCGGTTGATTCATAACGCTATAGTAGTGCCCCCCTGGTGCCCCAGCTATCACCCTTGGAATCATCAGAGAAAACATGCCAAAGAGTCAGTCGAAGAAAACATGCCAAACTCTTCGCACCACGTTGCCTTGAGAGCACACGGCGGTTCTTGCTGACGCTGCGGCACCAGGGTGATCGGGCGGACTCCTTCGAAAGACCGACAAGGAGCTGTGGCGTGTGGTCTGTGACCGGGGTGGCAGGGGAAATGCGGTTGCTGCGGGGGTGGGTTGTCTTTCTTGTTTTTCTTTCTTTCCTCTCTCTCTCTCTCTCACCCCTACATACACACCTCCGGGTATCTCAGATCAAAAGAGCTGTGGGGTGGGTGCTTGTCGTTGGATGCGAGTTGTTGGTCGTTGGTGGGTTCAACCGATGCAGGCGGTCTCTGTGGCTCGCTCGTTCCAGTGATCTGTAATCTATTTATCGGTCTGTAATCATCAGCAGGAACCAAGGCCGGACATTGCAGCACTTCAGTCAGCCACTTTTTTTTTGGAGGACGTCTGACTGCAGTAGCGACTGACCTTTTGTCTGCAATGATAGACTATAGGAACAAATGCGAAGCATCTGATATGTTTGAACATGCAAGTACAGGGCGGCATGTTTAACAACTAACGATTCTGGGCAAAGAACGATCACACCAGGATCACACCCTAGCACCTGACCAACTAACTAATTGCGTTCATTGATCTATCAGGGACGACACAGTGAAAATGATTGGACACCTAGCTTGCACTCTGACCCACATGTGGCCAAGCACATTAACACCATTGCAAACCTAGCGCCGGCTGATTGGTGAGGGCGGCAACATCCAAAACAAAGCATCAAACAAATCATCTGATTCTGTTCTGTAAAAAACATAAACAACACAGGACATAGGTGACTGGTTTTGTGGAATATGTTGTTTTACATTATAAACAATTCAATCAAATCAAACAACTCTCACAAACCCCCAATCATGTCCGGCAACATGTCCCAAAATGGCAGTGATCTCAAAGTCTCTGGCCAACAAGAGCACAGGGGAACAAGACCTCACACCCCAAACCCACCAGAGCTAACCACCCCAACCATCTTCTTAGGTGGGCCAGGAGCCCTAGGGATTATAAGGCCATTTTGTAGTCATGGCATCCTATGGCTAAGAAAAATTGGACCAAGTCACGATCCGCACCGTGGCTCCGGTGCTCGTCCGGGTGAAGAGCTGCCCACGGCTCAACACCGCGGTGCTCGTCGTGTCCGGCGCGTTGGCCACGGGGACATCCGGTGACCGCGTGTTGGCCACGGGCACGCGCCATTTCCGGGGGCGGAAGGTGGAAGCGGCCAAACAAGCCTTGGGTGTGAAGGAGAGACATTATGTAGTGAATCTGTGTACATGTCATTATATAATCGCTTCTGGATGCTTTTGATAGTTCTTTTCCATCTATTTCTAACAAAAAACGGGAGGTCTCAACAAAAACAGAAGGCTAAAATATCTACTGCGTACGTGCATGTGGGACTACACAAAACTATGATAGACTGGAAGACTATTTGCCTCTCTGAACGATTTGGCGATCTGTGTTCCTCTGGGGAAGCGAAGGTAGACCCCAAGCAGCGCTGAGCGGATCTCAGTCTAGCCACTCTGAAGAGAAGAAACCCAAATGCTCTACCTCTGTACCAGTACCAAAGTATGTGTCTTTGGCCTCCATCAGCACTAAGGCAAAAAGTGTTCACAAGGTCACCGTGGTCACCCTGGTCACCCTCCCCTCTGTCAGCCCCAGAAGCAGTTTTCGAGACCACCTTGTGCATGTCCTTCATCTTCTCCGGTGACTCGACAGGATAAAACACCAGGACGCACTGCGGCAGCAAGCCTCATGGACTGAGGCGATGGATGGACGGATGGACGGGGGGACGGATGGAGGGACGAACGGACGGATGAAGCAGGGATAATATTGCATCCCGCCTTGAAAAACACAACCATTCGGGTTTGGGATGGGTTGCTTGCGCAGGCATGTGGAGAACATCATAGCTTGCCTGCAAATCCCGGGCGTTCCAGCTGTGACTCTTCAGCGAACTGCCATGGCGCTCCAGCCACTCAGCGAGCATGCAGAAAACCTATTTTTATTCAAGTCTGAAAGGTGCCTGCCCTTACCACCCCTTACATATAATTTGAAGAGCAGGAACCTGCGGGCATAAAGAAATAACTCTATGCCAGCACCTTCTCTCACACCCCGCTCGCACTTACCGGACCATAGACACTCTGAAACCTCCAGGCATAGATTCTGCAAGTGAGTGGATCCTGGGTTCTTGGACAAGAACATACAAGAACATGTCTCTTCGACGCAAGCTCACTCAGCCCGTTTGGCTCGTTCGATGTGTGCAGTAATGCTTGTTCGATATAGCCAATCCCAGTCTATTCACATCTTTCACCACCACAACAACGGCAGCAGCAACGACGATGACGACAACCACGACCACGACAACGACCACAACAGAAGGCCCCCCCCCTGTCATTTCTTCACTCCGGCTTCGACTTTGCAAGACTTCGGCTTCCATTCTTTCCCCGGTGGCTTCGGCCCAAGGCACTTCTTCGGCATCGGGGTGCTCTCCAATCCCTTTGCACGCAGCTTCCAGAGAGCACGGTGCCACCCTGCCGGAGCTTTCGACGCGGCGACCGGTGCGGAAACCCGCGGAGACCGCGGGGCTGGCTGCGCAGCTCCGAAGGCAAGCCTCGCGGGAAGGAGGCGTGAACGCCGTGGTGCTTCTGCCGCGCAGAAGCGCTCCGCGAAGGTCACCGGGGTCAAGTGGTGAACAGGAAAGACCATGAAAGACCAATCGGGTGAAACTAAGTTTGAGAGTTCAAATTTGAAGCCTGCGAGGACGTTTTGGGGACCAGGCGTTTGGCTTCAAGTCACTTGAAGTCTGCGAGCCACCCCCACGACTGAATCGACACCCTGGCTTTCTTGGACCGGAGAATAGTTTGAGTGCATGAAGACCTACTTTGCTCACCAATCGAATCAATTCCGCAATCTTTGGTATTGGAATGGGCCCTATCTATCCCTATCTGAAGTACTACGTGTATCCCCTGAAGATCAAGTATTGAAGCCAAATCTCATTCCCTCAAACCCTAAACCTGCTTTCAGCTCAGGACCCAATACTCTCTGTGCTTCAGGACAGTGTATATGTGCTGATTTTGCTGCAAATATATGTGATGGTTGGCAAATGATGAATTTTAGCAAAACATATCTATCCAAGCGCTCCAAACAGGACCTTTCTCCCTCAGACTCAGACCCCTCCAGACGTGCTGGGTATTAAATCCTGGTCCAGCCCTGGCAGCCCCGCGGCGGAATTCTGGTGGACCTGGTCCCTTGTTCGAACTCGGGCTCAAGAAACGCCGAGTTCATGTCTGGAGAATCAGGGTTGACAAGCTTTCCACCTGTTGGTGTTTAGTTGGGATACCAATCCCAAGAAAGGTTCACGGGTGTCGACTGACTGGGTAGGAGCTGGACTGATGCACTTCTGAATGGACTAGCAGTTCGCAATCATTTCTGGTTCCAATCATACCCAAAGGATCCAGGCATATCCGGTTTGGATGTAGTCAGGTGCCCGGCTTGGATTGTGGGATTGCCTTTTAGATATTACATGTTAATTACTCACGTTCTCTGAATTGTTGAACTGGCACCACTTCCATGAACTCACATCCTCTTCCAACCGACCCACCCCAAAATGGACGACCCAAATCTAGAACCGGCCACCGCTCGCACGCATTCGCACGCCCGTTCTTCGGCCTGCCACCTTCCAGTCGCGCCGAGACCACCCAAAGGTCGCGCTGGCCACGCGGAAGGCGAAACGCTCCAGCAGCAGCCCGCCTTCCAAAAAACGCTCCGCCTGGGAGTGGACCGAAGACTTCGGTTGGCGGCCTGGGGGCCTCGCTGCTTCGCCCCAAAGTCGTCCACCGCCCAGTCGTCCACCGGCCTGCTCTGGCATCCACTGGAGCTTCAGCGAAGGGTCATGACCCCGAAGGGCCTCCGATCGATGCAGCGAGCACGAGATGGCGTGTGAGACCGGCGTGGTGAATGGACCCCCAAACCTGCAATTAACCTAAAAGGCGAGGGGTGTCCTGTCTGGAGGTCCCTATAGGTCGTGGGCTGGGGCTTCCACCCCTTTGAAGGTGCTGGTATAAGGCTTTTAAGGGGAGTCTTGGATAGGTGTTGTAATCCATTAGATCAGATCTGCATTTGCCGTACATAGAGGAGGCCCTTGTGTCGTATGCTTGATACAAATACTTCACCTGGCGACCATGGATGGCAGGGAACCTCGAACCCTTCTGGGTCGAGGTTTGCTTTGTCTGGAACAACGGGTTCCTTATAGAAACTATATATATATATAGAAACTATACTGGCAACTGAGCCACTGACAAAATCCACTCAAAACAACTCATACTACGTCGGCTCCAGTCCTTCCACTCAGATCCACTCAATTCCTGGTCCACCATGTAGGCACATACAAACCTCCACCCCTCCACCCGTCCGCTCCACGCTCCACGCGCCGCGGCGAAGACGAACTCGGCGAGGCCCTGCATGTGGCTATCGCCGCCAAAGGCATAGACCAAGCCGGACTGGAGGATGGGCCTCCGGGTTGGGAAGTCTTCTACATCAGCAAACTTGGAGCAATAAGGAGTAAGAACAATACTAAAGATAGTAGCAACAAGTAGTTGTTCTTTGTATCACCATAGGAGTATATATAAGAATAGTGGCTGTGGTAACAACTGGCCGCCACCTGCTTCGCTGTTTCACCCGAAGTTTTCACGTGATCCGCGGGTTTGGAACTCGACCTCCGCATGAAACAGGAAGGGCGGGCCTAATGATGCCTTGATTTTGGACGAGTTTCCAAGCGAGCGGAAATCCGCTCTGTCTCAAACGAATCTGACGGACTCGGACATATGAGCCGAGTAAAAGGCAAGCAGTATAGAGGACTCGCTCGGACCTTTCGAAACATATTCGAGCGGCGGGACCCCGGCTGTTCCAATATACAGTATGTTGTTCAAATTTGCTGCTAACGCTAAGGCTAACTACAACTCCATCCACTGGCGTCCGAGCTCGGTAAAGACTTTATCGTTCAAGCTCGGGATTAATCGATTTGCCTTGAGCTCACACACGATGCTGGTCTTGAGCTCCGATTACATTCTTCTGGTCAGACTTGTCGTCGACAAATTTTAAATAGCTGCATCACCAAAAGCCCAACATATATACAAACCAAATTATATATTGGTGTGCATCTCTCTCTCTATACACATACACACGTATATATATATATAGGCATACCTTCCAAAGAGCGGCTGGAGGAAGGAAACACAAGAAAAACAAACCATCCAAAACCGTATATAGAGCCCCAAATGCTTCAATGGCCCTTCCACAATCCTTCCATGCTTGCTGATGTTGCCTTTGCTCATCCCCCCTGAAAGATTGCGTCCAGTTCAAGAACGAGAATCGCTGCGCTGACCACAAATCCCAGGATGCGAAACAACCGTTCTGCGCGTTCTGCGAAGCAATGTCAGTGCTGTTGAAATCAATGACCACACGAAGTGTCTTTTGTTGCGCATTTCTTGACTGGATTCGGATCAGCAACAACCATTGAGCTTTGTTTCTTCTCCAAGGTCTAACCTCAAGTGGACCCGTGGCATCTCTTGTGCCAAGAGACAGCTGTGGCAGAAAAATGTGGCAAATATCCTCAGTAGGAGCGAACAAGGTTGACCTGACTGATGCTGTGCTATTATGTAACGTGTCTAGTGCATGACATTTGCCTCATTAGACTGGTTGGAAACATCTTCCTGTTGAATCTTAGCTGGGATCATCCCGAGGTGCTTCTGAGCCTCGAATGTCCATCCATATGCCATAGACATGAATGCCTACAGTCCAAAAACCACAAAACTGCTACCTATGTACCCGACACTCTGAGAGCTCTGAGAGCTCCAAGTGATCACCACGACCCGAAAGGGCACCGTCCGAGTCGTTAGACTGGCGCCTCTCGGCCGAGTCTCCAGGACGCCCTTTGACATGGTCTGCCCCAGGCGGCCACTCATCAAGAGGCTCAATCGCTTCAGGGCGGCATGGTTCAAGAGGAGGCCGCGGGAGGACCAAACCACCTCCTGAGGATCCAGAGGAACCGCCAGGTCCATGGAAAGTGTGAAGTGCCGGGTTGGCGAAGGAACAGCACTGCGACCAAGCGACCAAGCGATTTCGGAAGTAAGAGGTGTGTAGACCAGTGCATACATGAATCATAGATATAACTTATAACATATTGTGTTGTCTAGAGCATCATCAGTAGATATATAATTTGCGACATATTCTCAGTAAAGACATCAATGTAAGGCAAAGGAACATTGATTTAAAAGGGAATAACAAGAAAAACATCTGCAACAAAATAAACATAAAGCCCGTGGATGAGGATGCAGCCTAAGACTTCACACGATCAAACATATCGAGTGCAAAAGCATTGAAGGAACAGTGAAACAAAAACATAGACACACATACAAAAACACACTGCACAGTCTGGACAAATCCCGGAGCAAACGAGAACACTTCCTCAAACTTTGCCGAAACAAGCTGGCCATTCTTCAACCAACTTCACTGAATGGACGCCGACCTTTTCCGAGAACCAGGACTGGTCGCATGTCAGATTCGCTGGAGGACTGGTCGTCCTCCGCTTGTTCGCTCGACTAAGCATCAGCATCAGTGAATTGTCCATCTGGTGCATGTCCACTGATGTGAAAAAAAATATGGTTGTACCAGTACCAGCACCACGGAAAGGTTGTCCATTAATAGCCCTTAGAGGTCAAGGGGTGTCCATGAACCACCCCTTAGGGGTCCAGGTAAAGGAGAAACAAATCATGTCTTTGCATCACCTGCACAAGTCACATTTGGGACCCTGGAAGGCACAGCCTTGGGGCGACACATGGGTCCTGGGTAGCCTGCAAGGCAGGCTTGCAGGCGATGTACCCGGTTCAGTAAAACCACCCATTGGAGTGGACAAGTCAAATGCGCTTCATTTGGCCCCAGCCACTCACTCCAACTGGGGAGGGGCAGGTTTTTCGACCGCAGGTTTCCTGTCCACCCAAGGTACACAGGTTCCAAATGGTTCCAAGCATCTGCCTGATTCCTTTGTGCCTCATGTACCTCCAGGTCCAACGCTTGGTCCGCATCCGCCGAAGGAAAGCTCCACTATGCGAAAGGATCGCGCAGTCCGACACGCCGTTGCCCCCTTTGTTACACTTGAGGGACCTTCCACTGAGCTGATGGTACATACGGGAACTTTGGTTATTACCACAACATGGCGGGTTGGTGATGTGAAAACATTCAATATGATTGAACAATAAGCAAAGGCCACATGACATGGCACTTTAAAATCTTTAAACTTTAAGCCCAATGGTCAAATGGTGGTGTGTGGTTTGGTAAATGACAATGGTGATCCCGGAAGAATCCAAACAACAATGCAAATCTAAGATGGACAACTGCCACTCGAATCACTGGGCCATTCATGGCCATTCGGTCGAAAGAACGAGCTTCCAGTAGGTCTTTGCCCCATGTCAAAGCTGGCATCGTGACACCTCGCGCTCTGGGAACATAGGAAAATGGGTTGATGTGTTGAGAGAAGAGGGAATTACATTATGGATGTTTAATTCGGGTGAAATCTATGGCGCCACTAAATCAATACCCATCCCGGATAGAGATCATGGAAAACCGCGGTCTGGAAAACCAAACGGACGAAAGCGGAACCCAAAATGAGAACATCACGTCTCCACGACGGTAAGGACCCTGAACCGGTGAACCGGTGTTGGCTTTGGCGCAGCTGATCTCAGTGAGGCTGTCATTTGCTGTCCACATAGCCAGTATAGCAAGATGAATTTTCGGGCGAAAAGCTGTTGGTTTCTGGTTCTGTTCTGTGAGCCATGGCAACTTCTGTTTAAACCGAGCAGCCATGCTGCTCAGCGATAATCCCTCTGCCCAGCAGCACCGGCGTCTCCATGGACCCTGAGCCATGTTGCTCAGTTTCCGGACTGGTTGTTCAACTATGGTAGGAGTCGCAGTGCAAATGCTTTTTACACTGGTTTAGGGTGTGTAAAGTTTCACACCTTCCTTAACGCTCACATGTAACAAATGCCCTCTCCCGACAATTCTGATGCTCGAAACAAGCCTGATGTCCTTTCTCACCTTCCACGAAGTCTCACTAGGACAAAGCTTCACAGCAAGCTCTTCATGTTTTGGCCGGATCAAAACTGGTACTTTTGGTAGTCGTGCAAATGCAAAACTGTCCACTGTCATCCTACTTCCAACACCATGCTTCGAAGGTGTTGATCCCTTGCAGAAAGCCAATTGCAATGGCTTGAACACGGTGGGAACCTTTCCCTTCTAACCCCCGAATGGCCCCCTCTGAGTTGCTCTGCAGAACGAAGGCCGTTGATTTTGAGACCCTCGCTTTGCTCTGGGCTGAATTCAACGCAACATGTAACATGTCTGAACCCTTTAGACGGTTGATGCTCTCTTCAGTCTCGGACAATTGTGCTGCCTTCCTGTGCATGAATAATATGCCACTTGCTGATCTATCCAATGGATAAACGTGACAGTGTATAGAGGCTTGATATCCTAGCTAGTCATTATATAATCAAGGTTGCATTCCTTCTGAATGATCTTCCACCGGCATCAATAAAGATAGGCAATAGTATGCTCAATGAGATCTTCCGCGTAAGGTTTAAGGTGTTCAACACCACAAGTCCCAGTTCGAGCGGTTCCAGTGTTAAGCGGATCGAATCCTCAGCTAAAGCAATCACTGGAAGATTGCATGGCTCAACAATGTAGACACCCTTTATTTCAACAACCCACTTAGTTCTTGGATTTGCTTCTTCTTCTTCTTCCAGTTCTTGTGAGGCCCCTCATGATTTTCATGAGCCAATATGATTATATAAACCCTGAAGCAGTTCTTGGCAACACTTCTGCGTCTTCTGAGCCGCTGACATCCCAAAGACTTTGACAGGAATTCCAAGACGGCCCGCACGGCGCCTGCAATCCACAGCTTCTCCGCAGGGCAGCTGTCTAGAAACTCAATGTCTACATCTTTGTCTGTGGATTTGTTATTGGTTCCTTCGTTGTTGACAAATATATATATATATAAGAAGATCTGAGGGTGTTTCAAAACCAACAACTATTGGGTGAAGCCAAACTACTTGGTGAAGTCGCTGGTCTTGAAGAACCAAGGCGGATATCGTGAGGAGTGCAACTGAAGATTCAAGAAGATTCCAAGAACCCCAAACGAGAGTTCCCAGTCTTCCTTTCTCTTCAGTCATAGATTTAAGGAGACCTCCCGTTTTCGCTGATCAACCGAACATCGACGACCAAAGCACGTTCTCCGGTTCTTCCAAAACGCCCAGAACGATCTACTACGGGTGTGTATTTTTTTCATGCAGCGTCTATGTTTCCAGACCAGGGACTCTCCCTATTCGACCTCATGAAACACCACTTCGGATTCCGATCCAATCGACCTCGCTCGATGAAGGCCCCCGCGATCCATATCCCGGCCTGTGTTCACGAGCGAGTTGGCGCGGAAATATCCCAGCCAATCCTCGGCGAGGGGGCGAGCATCAACCCACCGGCCCGGTGGCGAGGTGGCTAGGACTGTTGGAGGACACCTGGAAAAAGCTAGGAAAAGCTAGAAAAAACCTGGAGAGGAACACCTTGTTCAAGACATGCTCCTTTCTTGTTGCGGGTTTTTTAGTGGTGCTGGATTTCTTGAATCAAGTGTCCATCCCTCCTGACCATGTACGGCATTCATCTGAAGGCCTACCCAGAGTGCAACATGGGGACGAGGTCCATGCAGATCCCCGCTGAAGGGTCCTGCTGAAGGTTGGTGGGTTTTGTTCGGAGAGTGTGTAGGCCACAAGGACATAATAACCCTAGACTGTCATCGGCTAGTCACTAGATGACCTACTCTACAAAATGGATCATGAAACAATTGCTTCCAAAATTGATACCTTTAAAAAGTCATTTAGTTATCTCAGACTTAATTGTAATGGCTGTTTCATTTACGAGCTCATCTCCGGTTTGAAACACCTTGCCGCAATTCAATCACGATGCTCCCAAGGTCAACACAGAAAAGCAGTTAACAGAGATGCTTTCTATGACTCAAAATCATGTTTAATTCAAGCAGTGTCTTTTGCCATCACCACGACCACCCCTCTTCGGCAAAACACACAACACAAGCCCAACATGAAGCAAATGCGTCGACAGATCTCGTCTCAGAGCAAATGCGTCGACCAATCTTTTTGTAGCACTTCTTGTGTCTGCGCGCGACCCCACCGGCGCTCCGTCACTCGCTTCGGCATCGGTGGGAGCCGGGTGGGTGGCGTCACAGGCACGGTCATCGTTGGTGGCGCCGTATGCAGCGTCTGCACGGCCGTGCTCTGGAAGCTCTGCTTCTCTGTGTAGCTCACGTTGATGGTATTCAGCATGGTTTGTTCCTAGGTGGAAAAGCATGCTGGGAATGGAACCGAGTGAGGTGCCTTCGCATTCTTTATGAATCAAAGCCAACAAAATCTATGAACCAATTAGAAATCAAGATCTTCGAACACACGACACGTCAATTGACAGCAACTTGGGAGCCCTAGCCTGAAGCCATTCTTTTGTTCATATCAAATGGTTGGAAGACGTTGGAAGATCCAACACAGGAATAATGTCAGTATCAGCGTTACACTCTCATCCAAACAAATCACAGTTTTTTCTCAACCTGGATTTAAAGAAACGGGGTCCTCTACACGCCTTTTCGCGTAATTTCCGACCCAGACGCTTGCTCCATGGGATATTTACTCTTCACCTACATTGACCTCTGAAAGCACCACAACTGTTCGGGAAATACCGTGGTTTCAGAGTAGATAGCACTGGCACCCAAAATGTCTTAGACTCGTAGACCCAACTTGGACATTTGTGTCATCTACTCTGAAAGCAGTGGAGTGTCAGTCCCATGGAAGTTCCATGGAGTACCGCCTGCTTCAAAGTTTTTGGTAAACCCGGCGTGCTTAGCTTAGCTAGGAGGAAAAAACACGGTCCGTTCGGAAAAATCACTTCCTGGCTGCCACGGATGGAGGTTCCCCTGATCTGGAGGGTTGAATGCGACATTCCATTGTGGTCTCCCGTCGTTGAGGCTTGATATATGAATATGCACCTCAATTCACGCAGCCACTCCGGCTGCATAACGAATTCCATCAGTCCTTCGGAACCGTAGATAGATACTTCTCTGCAGTAACAGTACCCAATATGAACAGCATGTTGTATTGGTTGGTGCTTGTATACCCTAGTCAATTGAATGAGAAGAGTCTCAGGTCAATGTCGAGGCTAAACATGTCCGGGCTCCACCGTCTTTCTTCCAAATCCATGAGCTTTTCAGTCCCCAGTATATCGATACGCAGTTTCTTCATTCAGTTCGCATTCTCCGAAAAGAGGCAAAGGCGTTAACACGACAAAATCATCGATGGACAGTGAACCACCACACCATACCCGATGGAAGTATACCCGATGGAATGTGGATCCTCACGGATCCAAGAACGCTTGGAAGGGTCTTACAGGGCTTTACCATGTACATCCAGGTACTACCTCGCCTTTGATGACCGTTCCACATTTGCTTCACTGGTGCCGTGGGCCTCGTAGATATGGTAGCTTGACGTCTCACCTGCTTCACAAACCATTCCACCAAACCTCTCGGGGCGGTATCTACTTGGAGTCCCATCCACCCCAAGAGGTACAGTATCTACCTCCCAAAGCGATTGGATTCAAACATCCCATGCGCTACTTCATGCGCTACTTCTACCTCCCAATTGAACCAAACGGGCCGCTGCCCTCTCACCGTTCCCCGCCGTGTGCCCCCCCGATCGGACCGCTCCGAAGCTCCAAGCACCCGAGGACCTCTTCGAGGCGCCGCATGCCCTGCAAAGCCTCGGGTCTGATCGATCTCCGCGGAGAAACCGCTGAAGGAAACCGCATGAAGCTGGCTGATCATGAACATGAAGAAGTGAACCATGAAGACTATGCAAAAGAACACGGGTGGTCCTGCTTCAAGTCCGCCTGCCAAAAACTCATGTAAACTTACCAAGATCAACATCAGTCAGTTCCGAACTACCAGGCATGATGCACTGGAAGCGTCCTTCCAAAATAAGTTCTCTCATGGGATTCCAAGGTTCTTGTTTGAGATTGAGGATCAACATATCATAACATATATCAACATGTTCCTCCAATCCCCAAGTAAACAAATGGATCAGGAGAGTGCAATAATTCCAGGAACTGGAGTCGAACTCGCTACTCAAGGAACCTATGGTCCAAGATTCACATTGCTTTGCCCCCTGGAGTAGCTTGGTGAGTCCAACATGTCCAACTGTCTCAAAGGGACGAGCGCGCTGGGCCAAGTCGCCTTGTACAACTCCTCTTCTTCTGCAGCGCCTTGTCTGGACGGCATGCTGACCAGCTCCTGGGAATGCCAGATCTGTCTGTGCGGATTCCGGTGGCGAACAGCAGCACTGGGTGGTCATTCAACAAGTGGAGTGGGGATTTTCAGACATGTGGACACTGAACAGTGAAAACCGGGTACCTCAGTCCCAGGGAATTAGGTATGTCCTACCCGAAAAAAGTGGCTAGAGAACCGGGTGAACAATGTCTTAGACAATTTTGTTATGGTCTGGTTTTTAGTCTTCGGGAACTTCCCCTAGGTCTTTAGGCGTTGCTGGGGATTCTTTCCAGGGTTCCCTCCTTCCAACGTAGCCGCAGCTCCCAATCTATTGGGGTCCTGCTTGGAACTCGTGGTAAAGAATTGGGGAATTCCATGCGCTTTCTTCGTTTCGCATTCTACAAGCCAATGACGTTCAGGACTTTCGCTTGATCACTACTCTCAGAATCCGACTGAACCCTCGTTTCATCCGGACCTCTGACAGGGATGCCAAAAATCCGCCCCGTCGCGGCGCAACAAATCGTAAAAATCCGCCGTCGCACGAAAAGCCCAGAAACGGTCCAAGCAACTTCGAGCTGATCCATCACCGTGCGGAGTCGCGCAGTCGTGACATCACTTTGGGTTCGCAGCTTTTGCTCAATGGTTTGTTCCGCTTGGTAAAGCGCAGCCAAATTGGATCGAATGCGTCGATGTAGCACACACCTTGGAGAGTGAACGAGTTCCCGCTCTGGGTGCAAGCTTACATGCACTTTGCCCCATGAACATGAAGATCAACCTATAGTAGTTCACTGACAAGTGTTGACAACAAGTCAACACAATTAGTTTGCTGTTGAGAAGCCACTGGCCCACGATCGGCCATAACCATAGTCGGATCCGGTCCATTCGGCCACTCGACTCACTGAGAAGTCCAGGACATGACCATGAGAATATTAAGTTATATTGAGGACACAGATCAAACCACTGCTCTTCACTGCAGAACAAACATTTTTTGGGGGTATTCATCTGCAAACGCTACCAAAAATTCCACATCAGTCCTTGGGGGAAAACGCATAGGTGAGCTGGTAGGTCCCTCCCGACCGTCGATTCTATCGCTTGGGCCATTGGTTTCATCAAACTGCCAGGGCGCTGAGTCCCCAAACTCATCAAGTCTGTGTGGCTCTCGCGCAATCGCATGAGCCCCTCTTGTAGCTCCTCCAACGAAACGGTGCCAGATGCATCGGGGTCCACCAGGCCTCTCATCTGTCTTTCGGATGGCAAGGCAATGTGCATCTTCTTCAAGAGAGCTTTGCCATCCTGGGATGTGAAAATTACAAAGTTAGTGGCAACCAATCCACTTTAAGGGAGCGGCGGTTGTGGGGCCCGCCTGTGGACTGGTGGGATAAGCAGGTGCAAATTGCTAGGAAATGTTGATCTAGTGATGTTGACTGCTCACTAATAACCGCTTGTACACGTACCTAGATTATCGATCAACTCAACAGTCAACATTACCCTTTCCAAAAGCTCCTTCAGTGCTTGGGCATGAGGGCTGGAGCTTAGAGCTGAAGCAGGGCTGGAAAAAAATGGTGATCGAAATTAACGAACTGCGTCTGCTAAAGGGTCTTCATTCTTGGCTATGGTTCAAACAAGACCTGTTGTTCATGAGGATCCAGTTGCAACAAGAGATCAAAAAAGGGAGGAATGACACAGATCTGCGCTGCAGCTCGCTCTCCCTCTTTTGGGCGCCCTGTCCCGCCAAGGCTCGAGGGTTTGCAGCAAACTGCCACAGTTTTTGGACTCCAGCTCGCCTTTCCTTCCCTTCTTAGCAGTGCTATAGAGGTCCGAGGCCTTGGCGGGCTATAGGTAGATGTTCCAAAAGGAATTAGCACTAATCCACACTTCTTCTCAGGTTCTGGATAGTCTTCCAATGGCATAAACGTTTAAAGGAATTTCTTGGAAGCAAAAGAACCTAACCAACAGTAAGGAGTATCGGCAGAAAGGATGCACACAAGTGCTCAAACTCCATGGATGGGGAAAGACACCGTTTGGATGCGAACAAACCAATTTTTCATCACACAATTTGCTGATGTCCACCTTGTCACAACAAACGACACCGTCTTGGAAAAAAAAACCACCGTACTTTAACATGCATTTCT